AAGCAATATCAAGGTTCTCTTCAAGAGATTGAAGCAAGCCCATTCCTCCACTGACCTTCACAGACTTCATAAAAGATTAAAGGACTAAATTACAGAACATGATTTGGTTGTAGAGCAGTTGGTTCTAGAAAATAATATTTTCTTGTGTGAATAAAAAGTAATAGGGCGGGGCTGGAGAGATGGCTCAGCGGTTAAGAGCACTGACTGCTCTTCCAGAGGTCCTGAGTTCAAATCCCAGCAACCACATGGTGGCTTACAACCATCCGTAATGAGATTGGATGCCCTCTTCTGGTGTGTCTGAAGACAGCTACAGTGTACTCATCAATAAAATAAATAAATAAATATTAAAAAAAAAAGTAATAGGGCCTCTTTTCCACTGAGATCCTCATCTTTAGCATGACTTGTAACATGATTTTTGGAGAGATCCAGCCATCTTGTACATGTAACAATTCTACCCAGAGTCCAGAACTAAGCAAAGTATAGGGATATAAAAGTTAGAGTATTCATGCCTTCAGAGCCAAAGAGATCCAGAGAGTAAAAACACACCCATCAATCATCTGTAGACCACCACTGATGGTACTGCTTGTGCATTTGTGTAATTGTGGATGTGCATATTATGTGTTTACATAATGTATGTGTGTTTGTGTGTACATGTGCGTATATGTAAGAGTATGGATTTTTCCATACCCGCCCTTGCTCCGAATAATGACACAGACTCTTTATAGTTACTAAAAGCTTAAGGCACAATAGCTGGACAGATTCTAACCCAACAATGCTGGCCTGTCATACTTCCCAGCCATATCCCCCACCCAGTTACCTGCCATCTTAGTCTAGCCTGGCACCTCCTTCTTCATTTGTGTCCCAATAGCAACTCCCCCAGTCTCTACCTCCAACATTGTCTGCTTTTAATTGTCCAACCAGAAGATGATGAAGAACAATGTTTTACAAAATAATGAGTAGTGCTTTATAATGATGACAATACCAAAGTCCAGACTGCAACACAACTAGAACTCTGGGTACAGAAACAAGCATTGAATAAACAGTGCACAAAACTACCTCTAACACTTATGTGTGTGGTCAATGTGAGTTTACATAGTGTTGTTTGTGTTTGTCTGTACTGCCATCACGTCCTGCCAGTGCAGCTAAACTAAAATAACCCAAGGAAAAATATAGTGTTTGGAGAATAATTTAATCTAAAAGTCTACTAATGTTAAAAAAAACTGTGACCCCTGCACATAATTAATTGTGGGGCAGTGGGCTGTGAGAGGCAGCTGGGCGCCTGGTCGAGCATAGGCCTCAAACCTCAGATCCTAATGGGATGGCAGTTGTTTGGCTTTGCTCCTGGGCCCCTGGTTCCTCACACTTAGCTTCAGCCCTCTACAATCCCTCCCAAAGAGAGGTTTGTGTCACCCAGCACAGGTAGAGGGTGTGACTACAGGCCTTAGCCTCAAGAGATTTCCATATTAATGAGATACCTAAAGGCCAAAGGGTGTAGCCAATTAAGCATGCTTTCCTAGACCCTCCTTCCTTCCTATTTAACTCAGGTCTGTCCTGAGAGACTTGGGGGTGGGGGGAGGAGAGGGAGGAAGAGGGAGTGCAACCAAGTTCACTTTCCACCATGACAATAAACCTTAAGACCATGGACTTCCTCGTGTCTTTGGGGCCTCCTGTGGAGAACCGTGGAGGGGGCCTTAGACTACTGAGCTGCTGAGGACTTTTCTACATTCCTGCCACAGAGACCACCAACTCAAGCAAACTAGCCAAGCCAGCCAAGTGAGTGCGTAATCAAGAGTCTCTACCCAAGGAGCTCTGCCAGGGCTTCTCTTCCTCATCCATGTCCAGCCTGAATGCCCTCGCTTCTCAGTTCTTCTGCTGCTCCCAGCGGCATCTGGGAGCCCAAGGACAAAGACCACTGAACTCTGGGTCAGCGGCCTCCGCCTGGAGACCCCCACTCAGGAACCCTGCCCCCCTCGGGACTTCAAGCTGAGACCTCTCCACGCCTGGGAGGAGCTCCAGCAGCTTCTCTCAGCCCAGCATCTGCCTGGCACCTACTGCATGGAGTGAACTCAGTCAAATTTCTGTGCTTCTCCTCCCTGGAGCCACAGAAATCACAACACAGCTCAACAGGACCCACATTCTTGAGAGAGCTAACAACCCTGCAATTAATGACTTTAAGCTCAAAAATATGGCATCAAAAATGTTATTGGGCTGGGCATTGAATTTTAGTTATGGTAAAATCAATAAATAGCTGTTGGGCACTGTATATTTTTGAGTCATTTATGATTATTTCAGAATGTAGTTTTCTAATTAGTAAATTAAAGATAATGACTCATTTAATAACTAATTTCAGAGCTTTTTAGTGTTGGACAGTGTTTATATTATAGAACCGTAGCAGTAAACACACATACAAGCCACAATGCTATACAAGGCAGACATGCAGCAAAGAGTTGCATACAACATGCACTAGTGATGTTCCTTGTATGTAGGATCACAGCAGCTTAAGGCAGGAGAGTTTAATTTTGGCACACAGTTTAGAAGGTGAAGTCTCCCATGAATAAAAAGGAATGGCAGGTAGGTCATTTCGGCCTTGGGTGGCAGCACCTTGGAGTACAACTTGAGCAAAGCTTGGTGGGTTAGAAAGTGTAATGGTCTGAATGAAAATGGCCTCCATAGACTCATAAGGAGGTGTGGCCTTGTTGGAGTAAAAATGGCTTTCTTGGCCTTGTTGACCTTTGAGGTTTCAGAAGCTCACGACAAGACTAGTGGCTCATTTTTTCTTCCTGCTGCTTGCCAATCTGGATATAGAACTCTCAACTACCTCTCCAGTACATGTCTGCCTGCATGCTGCTATGCTTCCACCATGACAGTAATGAACGAAGCCTCGAACTGTAAGCGATCCCCAGTTAAATATGTCCTTATGAGACTGGCAGTAGTCAGCCTATTTACAATAGAAACCCTAACTGAGAGAGGAAAAGAGCAGAGATCAATTGTAAACAGGG